CAACCTGGTGCCCTTCAGATGTACTGGGCTGCAACTCCTGAAATTCCCAGTCAGCACAGCCACTTCTGGAGGGCACCAGGTTGGGAAAGGCTGAACTAAATCAGCGGAACCACATTGCTGTCAAGGAAACAAAGCACAGGAGCGACTGGAGTCAAGAATGCATCGTGTAGTTCTTCAATTAGCAATACTTTGTTATGGAGTAAGGGTCTGTGAACTACAGCCCATTTTATCACACGCAGCCCACAAAAGCTTATTGCGTAATAAATTAGTAGTCTTTCAAATCAGACTCTGTCATTTTGCTGCCTGGGGTGTGTGTGTGTTTAGCCTTAGTTTATACCCTCCCAAAGATACTAATTTAATTAATTAAGAGATATAGACATATTTAATTCTATATCTTTGATTAAGATAGTACTCTGTTCAAGCAAAGTGCTTTTGATGTGTTAAGAAATTCAGATGGAGAGGGAGTTATATCTCCTTAGGAGAACAGCCGAGAATGGTGCTTCCTTATTCTGTAAAATGTTCACCACTCTTCAGTTTGCAGGCCCCCTTTGATGAAAAAACTGAACCCCAGCCATCACTCTAAACATGAATGAGGCAGAGATATACTTACACAAACAACCATCTGCATTCACAGCTGGTTTGGCCCTAAGTACCATGATGCTCAAATGCCTTATTGTAATAGTAGAGCTGATGCTTCACAGCAACCAGCTCCAGTTTTTGGCACAACAGCAAAAGGAGATAGCAACTGGCGTGCCATGCAGAACACAGCAGTTACAGGTGAAGTGCAAAGGAACCCATCTGGTTTTACAAGCATATGTACCAGGAAGAATCTGAGTTTCCCTTGAAGAAAGAGGGATGTGCTTTATCTTGTGGAATAATTAAGTTTGGTCATGGTCTTTGGAGTGCTTTGTTCAATCATATGCAGAAGGTAGACCAAGCCACTGATGAACAACTGGCCAGTTAGCAGGGGGCCACCTAGGCCTTGCTGCTTGCAGGCATGCTTGCAAAGGACCCTGGATCAGATCAACCTCGACCTGAACAGCGAGATGCGTCTTCATTTCGAAAGAGAGCTGAAGGGATATGTGGAAGGCTAACCCTTTGCTTGATGCAGGAAGTGAAAAGCTAGAGCATCCTTAAATAGCTGTCCAGCCTCTGCTTGAGGACCTCTGGTGAGGGAGAACGCAGCCCCTCGCTAGGGAATTGGCTCCATGGTTGAACCAATTGCTCTTACCAACGAGACTTTTCTTTTGCTGAACCAAAATCTATATTCCTGTAATTGCAAAGAACACGGCTTCTAATTCTCGTGCAATCATGCTTCCCCCAGATTATTCTCCAACTGTTTCCAGTTCCTTCAACCTTTCCGCTTTGCACTTATTCCCCCGTCCCACACTCTCCATCCATCTTCGCTGCCTTCATCCAAACCCATTCCAGTTTGTCTGTATCTTCCTTGTATGGAGCACCCAGATCTGGACGATGGGACAATGCCTTCCACTAATCATTGGAAGTCACTCTTTTTGGTTTTTTTGTCCTTATGTAATCTTTGATTGAATTTGTCTTTTATAAAGATAATTTTATTGTTTTTCAGTGTATGTATTGTGAGCCGTCCCGAGATGCTAAGGCATGTGGTGACAGCATACAAAAGTTTTAAATAAATAAATAAATAAATACTGACAAGTGCAGAATGAAATAAAATGGTTATTTCTGATAATCTAATGGGTTACCCTAATGCCTCAACTGACATTAACTCTCCTCAGTTTTTTTCTTTACAGTTGTGTCACATTATTAGGCTGTTTATGATGGACTACAATCCCAAGATCTTTTTCACATGTATTACAGCCATAGACTATTTATGTTCCAATTGTTAAGAGGTCCTATGCAAACTTTCTTGCTTTGCAAATTTAGCACCATCAGTAGATTACACTATTTATTTTTCAAGGCTGGTGGTGGGAGCAGAGAGAGAGACCATTAAAGACAACAATCAGCCACTTCTGGGTTAATTATGAATCACTGTTTTTGTGCCGATCCATTCTATTTGTGAGAGTGCTTCTTGGAAATGCATTGTGTTTGCTCTAACCCAGGGGTCTCAAACTCAACTTACCTGGGGGCCACTGGAAGTAGAGTCTGGGTGAGGCTGGGCCGCATCAAGTATTCCACCCCCGCGGTGGTGGTGGGCCGCTCATCCCGCGTTGCTCCCAGAGGCCGGCCCGGGCGCTGCTGGCTCTTTGAAGGCTGCAGGACCCCTCCCCCATGCCCCATCCGTCCCGGCAATTGGGCCGCGAGTTTGAGACCCCTGCTCTAACCTTTTCCCTACTAATCTTTAAAAAGATAAAAATCCATTGGGAAGGAGCTAGCACCTATGATGCTCCTAGGGCTACCAAGTCAAAAAGCAGTGCGTATGTAGCTAGTCTGTTTTTGCCCCACTTATCAGAACTTTTGTGGTATGAAAAAGGATGGAAAGTCATGGGAAAATTTGGAAGAATCACCAGTGGAAGACAATTTCATCACCTGCCCCCTAAAATTCCAGAGAAGTAGGGCAATGGTACCATAAAAGCCTGCTCTGCTAGTTACCAGAAGCAAAATTAAAGCTGTACCATCTGTGACAAAAGAATAGCTTGATGAATATCTACTCAGAAATGCTGCAAATTCATTGAATCGAGGACTCTGGCGGTACGCTGGTCCAGCCTGCTACTACAGCATCCCAGACAAGTGGCTGCACAGCTTCTTCTCACCCTGTTCCAATGATGTTTTTTTTGTGCTTGTCTGTCCCAGGCTGTTAACCCACTGTCCCTTCTTTCAGTTTTGTCATATTAATTCAGATCTGAGCCCTACACCAGAAGTTTCCTTTGCTGCCTTTCTGTAACATAACCTCTAGGAGGCACTGTGATTACTGTAATGTGCTCTACACGGGGCTGCCCTTGCAGACAGTCAGGCAATTACAGCTGGTACAAAATTGAGCAGCCAGGTTGGTGGCTGGTGCCCCACCTAGGACTTCTATTACCCCAGTGCTCAAAAAGCTGCACTGGTTACCAGTTGCTGCCAGGGCCCAATTCAAGGTGATTGTCTTGACATATAAAGCCCTAAACAGCTTAGGGCCTGGTTATCTAAGGGCCCATTTTCACCCATATGAATCTGCCTGACCCCTTAGATCAGAAAAGGAGGCCCTTCTATAGGAGCCACCCCTCAAAGAGGTGAGGCGGGGCAGTGAATAGGAAAAGTTGCTGCTCCCCACCTCTGGAATAAACTCCCAAGGGAAATTTGCCTGGTGCCATCACTATTTTCAGTGCCAGGCAAAAATGTACATTTTTAATATTTATTTTAACTGATCCCAATCTCCTTCCATTTATTCAGTGTTGTGTATTATTGTTCATACCTGGCTTAAAAATGTTAAAGCCTTTAAAATTTTTAAATTGTTTTATATTTTTAAATGTATTTATATGACTTCTGTAAGGTGCCCAAGGACTTTTAAGTATTTGGTGGCATATACCGTATTTTTCGCTCTATAAGACGCACCTGACTATAAGACGCACCTAGTTTTTAGAGGAGGGATCCATAGAAAGCTTTCTGATAATCACAGGCACATTCCCCATCACTTCCCCATGAGCTTCATTAAAAGACGGGTTGCCATTTGAAAACACACACCGACCTGTGATTAACAGCTCTCACCTGCGCTGGAGCAGCGGGGCGGAGCAGGGCGCGCCGAGTGCGTGCCGGCCAGGTGTGGTACAGCCGGGCCGGCAGTGCGCTGGTGGTGGTCTTCCAGGTGGTGTGGCAGCGGCGGCAGCAGTGGCAGGTCTTCCCGGGCGGTGGGGGTGAGCAATCTGTCTCTCCATGCAGCCAGCGGGTTAAAGCCCGCGGCTCCTCCTCCTCCGCACCGCTCCCCCTGAGCGGCACAGCTCTCACCTGCGCCGGAGGGCAGGGGGGCAGAGCAGGGCACGCCGAGAGTGTGCCGGCCAGGTGGTGCCACGTGGTGCAGGTGGGCCAGCAGCGTCCCAGGCATCGGGCACACACACATTCGCTCTATAAGACACACAGACATTTCCCCTTACTTTTGAGGGGGGAAGTGCATCTCATAGAGCGAAAAATACGGTAAACGGAATAAATAAAGCAAATATACAAGTAGAAATCACTCTCTCTTTCACAATCACAATTACACACTGCATTTTCTCTGTTTCAAAGCTTACTGAAAATGCTGCTTAGACAAAGAAGTAAAACTGGAGGGACATGATGTTTTCTGCAGAGCCTGTAATAATCATGAGAAGGGAATAATGAGCACTTGATAAGGTGCATGTGTAGAAAACACCTTTCACATTCAAACTGAGTTTTTCTACAAGGGTGCTGCAGCTTCCCTGCAACTTCCAAGCACTCAGTCATCATGGCTCCTGCTGCAAGAGCGAAGAGCTTTGCTTTGGCTTCTTCATGGCACTTCTTCATGTCATTCAAGCCCACTGTCATGCCCCCCTGGATATTCTCTTATCCAGGCTAAACATATTCAGTTCCTTCAGCAGTTCCTCATTGGGCTTTGCTCAGAGATCTCCCTCAACATCCTGGCTGCTCTAGAACAGGGGTCTCAAACTCGCGGCCCGCGGGCCAATTGCCGGGCCGGGCACGGGGGAGGGGCCCTGCGGCCTTCAAAGCGCCGGCGGCACCCGGGCCAGACACAGGATGAGCGGCCCACCACCACCACGGTGGTGCAATACTTGCTGCGGCCCAGCCTCACCCAGACTGCCCCCAGGCAAGTTGAGTTTGAGACCCCTGCTCTAGAAGCATTCCAATTTGTCCATGTCCATCTTAAAATGTGATGCCCAGAACTGGACCAATTCAGTAGGATTCACTTCCAGGTCAGTATGTGCAAGGCTGCACCTCACAGTAGTTCTGATTTCACAGCACAAAAAGCAACCCTTCGTTAGTGCATGTAGTCAAATATATGGACTCCCAACTTCAAGACACTCTGTTTTTCAGACACACACACAGTACCCACCACACAGACTCCAAAAGAGAAATATGGCATTAGAATTTATTTAAGAGAAAGCTGAAGCCTGTAGGTACAGCAGTAAAATATACAAAAAATAGTTATGCTCTTTACAGAGCAATTAGCTACAACAAATAAGGAAATGATGGGTAGTGTGGGGGAGCGGGGAGGAAAGCCGCTTGATACAAAGAATTTGGTGTAAATAAGCTATTTGGTTAAACGGAACTGGAACAGCCACGTACAAGTTGGGGCACTTCTAGTTTGCCATTAGTGGAGGGAGCAATTCTTTCAGTAACCACAAGCAATGTTTTCTGGCAGAGATGGGGAACACTTAGACAACTTGCCTGAATGCTGGCCGTGCTAACTGGGCCTGATGGGAATCAGACTCCACTACAGGTCCCCTACCCCTGGTGCAGGAGGGAAAGAACATACACAGCTTTACCAAGTTTGGTTATGAATTCCTCTGTCTCCTGTGTGGCTAACATTGCTGGAAAATCCTTCTGGACTGGGAGCCAATGATTCATTTTATTGGCCCTGCTCACTGCCTCTGGGCCATTCCCCCAAGCTCTGTGTTTGACACTTATACAGGGATGATCCGCACCTTGGTTTTACGAGACTAACACCAGAGTGCTATCAGCAATAGCTGCTCAGTGGCACCAGGCAGTGTGAACTAAATCACAGAAGCCACAAATCTGGGCAGGGTGAGGGAAGGCACACCAAGAGAACCATAGATGCTGATGAAACAATTGAGCAGAGAAAAAGTTGGTGGAGCCAAGATCAGAAAAATATTTTGCCTGGAAAAGATGGGCATCCTTTCTAACCTGGTGCTCCCCTCCCCCACTGAATTGGACTACAACTCCCAGCAGCTACCAGCATCCAGCTTTTTTCCCATGTGAAATATCTGCCTTTTGCTCCTAAAGTACAGTTAAAGTGAGATATAGTGGCTAGGATGGTGGGCTTCTCTCAGAGAGATCTTGGTCCAAATCCACACTCAGCCATGAACTTAGAACATGCTCTCTGTTTTAGTCAAACTGACCTCAGAATTTTTTTGAGGAAATGAAATGGGGAATGGAGGAGGGGCAAAATACTGTGTATACTGCCCTTGCCTCCTTCAAGGAAGGGCAACAAAAAGTACAATAAATAACAACAACAACAACAATAAAAAAGGTAACTGCAGTTAAATACTGGCAACAGATCTGAAGTAGGGAGCCCAACCATTAAGCTCTTCACTCAGCTTTGTTGCTCAGCTGTGGCCCAAGGCCATAACTGTGGGGAATGGATCTGGGGCCTGCATGAAAGAAGAGAGAATGGGGCTTTTACAACTGGATGATCTGGCTGCTAATCCCACATCTGCCCGATTTGCCTTCCAGCCCCAGTAATCTCATTCCATCACTCCTCTGTAAATTTGGGACTACTCTGGGTGGAGAGATCAATTTCAAAGTCCCAGGGGTCAGCCAGCATCAAAGTTCAAGGTGCTCATTTCTCCACCAGGCAGGGCCCTTGCACTACGTTTCAGTTCCTCCTCATGCCATTTAGGAAGTTCGAAAAAGCAGAGCTGGGGCTGAGAAAGTGGATCTTTGCTTTTGAAAAGCAACAAAAATGCAGCCATTTGGAAGGCAAGCGTAGTCTCCCTCCTCCCCATGCTGCCCATGGCTAGTTGCACAGAGCCCTGCCTGCCCGCCCGTTCAGAACGATCAGTCACTTTGTTACTGGGTAAGCACTCGCATGTTAGTCCTAGCTGGAGAAGCAGCACTTTATGGCATGCAGCAAACGCGCATGTGAAGCTGAGAAATACTGTCAAGACGTGGACATGAAGAGGCACTTGATCTAACAAACAAAACCAAAAAAAAAAAAAGATGTTCCTTAAACGAATAAACTTTATACACTAGGAAAACGTATTTTTGACAAAATAAAAGCTAACTTTAAGTAGAGCTTTTCCTCCGGCTGTGCAGGCTCCGGCAAGGAGCTGCCAGAGATGGTGCACTCGACGTAGCTGGTAAAGAAGGACCCGCAGCCAGCCATCTCCTGCTGAGGCAGCACCTGCCCAGGTGGGCTCCACGATCATGTGAGAGGAGGACACGTTTCCTGCCAGGATGGGTTAGGTCCCTGGGAAGGGCCGGTCACATGGGTGAGTTGGCACAATCAGCGGTCATCTCCATGTCAAAGACTTGCAAGGACTCTGTGGGAGACAGCGAAAGAGACAACCTTGATCCTCTTGAAGCCCTGAGAGCTTCATGCTTGGCCTTTAGGGGACATAAACTCAGAATGTACATCAGAGCTGCCTGGCCAGGGGTTGCTGAGGCTTGCTGTGCCGTCTGAACATGAGGGGCAGGATTGAATAAGGGTTAAAGAACCTGCACATAACACATGGCCTGTTTTAGAGTTGTGCAAGGTTCACTGGCCTTCTGTGATGTGGGTGCTGAAGCAGAAAATGCTGGGTGTTTTTGTGTTTGGGAGCTCAGACCACCCCTCTGCCTTGTACCTAGCTTTCTGGGCAAGCAAGTTACTTTTCTTTGAGCTTTATGAATGTCAGCCATTTTGTGAGCAGGCAAACCTCCCTCCACAAAAGCCTTTTTGCAAGAGTCCCCATGGCACCCAAATTCCAAATGTTCCCACTACTGCAAAACAGGGAAGGGCCCCTATGAAAAGGGTTTGGATGACTCCCTGAATCCAGCCTGTGCCTGTTTGTGTTCCTCCATGTAAATGTAAAAGCAGAGCAGGGAGAGAGCCCCCCGCCCCTTCCACCACGCCCAACACAGCACAGGCCGCACACTCACCAAACTGGCCGCTGGCATTTCCCTCGGCTCCCTCAACATTATTGCCAAATTGGATCAGGGACTCGAGTGTGCGGGGAGACATGGGCAGCTCAATGGTGCTACTGCAAGTCGTTCTGGAAAGGTGGAGTGTGGCGGGAGGGGAGGAGAGAAGAGAGAAGAGAGAAGAGAGAAGAGAGAAGAGAGAAGAGAGAAGAGAGAAGAGAAGAGAAGAGAAGAGAAGAGAAGAGAAGAGAAGAGAAGAGAAGACAGAGCAGCAGGGGAGACAAGTTAGAACCTGGAAGCGACTGGCTCCAGCTCCAGAACCACCAAGTCTGCTCTGACCAGGGGCACCACTAGAGCTGGAAGCCCCGACCTATTTCTGGTATTTGGGCAAGGGGACATAAACTGGGGCAAAGGTAACTTGGACATAACCCTACTTCCACTCACTCTGTAAAGGTCCTCATGACATTTTATTCCTAACGTGTGCCAGAAACAAGCGGGGTGTGTGTGTGGGTGCGTGCATGGCTGGTACAGCTCACACCTCCCCCTCTTCTACTTCCCCTCTTCAGTGGTGATTTCTCGATTTCTGGTTATTGATGCACATGGTGTAGGACTGTGCTCTGGGTATAAACCAACCCCATCAAACTGCTGTGCAGACCCCCAGCACTCCCTCCCCCCCAGCTGCGAATCCCCTCTCCTTGCAGGAAGGAATACGTACGGGGTCACGCAGATGAACTTCGTCTTCAGATAGGGAGCAGCACCTAGGTGAGGGATGGGGGGAGGAAAAGTATTTTGTCAGAGTGTGTGGAAAAGCAGCTGGAGTCTCCTCCCCAAACTCTACTTTCTTCACTGCTCTCAGACACATTTAAGCTCTGTCTGGAAATGCTTTCTTGCAAATAATGGTGAAAATTGTCAAATGAAAATAAGGAATCATTCTTAAATATTCTTCCAGCTATCCATCAGTTTGCTTTTTGCCTCATTTGCTGGACTTATGCTGAGCCAGAGTCAAAACAAACTGATCAAAACTCTGCAAGTGCTGTGCCTTCTGGGGAAGGGATGCAATGCTACCCACACTGAACACTCTTGGTAGAGAAACTCTAAATCAGTCCTCCCCAACCCAGCATCCTCCAGGTGAGTTGCACTGCAACCCCCCTGTGGCCAGTCTGTGCAGGTGTATGTGAAAGAGAACCTTACTTTGTTACAGATGCCAGCTGATCCCGAAATAAGTAGCTGTAGAGACTAATTGTGCAGGACTGGCTCAGAAAAAGACACGACCAGGGTAATCCTACATTTACTCAGAAGTAAGCCTCAGCAAGTTCACTGGAGTCTACACCCAGGTAAGCATTTATATGATTACAGCGGAAGGCGGCTGTAAGGTATGACACCTACACTCCAGACTCCCCTACCAGACAGGTAAGTTTCCACTACTGCAGTTCTTGCCCCCAGGAAGCAGCACAGAACGTCAACAACTACCTGGGTCAGTAACTTCTGGGTGCTCCTGGCTCTCAGGACGGCAGTATTTTCCAAAGGCCTCCTCTTTGGGAATATCAGGATACAAGTAGACAAGTGGGGAGACCAGGATATTGGTGGCATCCATGATCTTGTAGCCCATAATAATCTCAGCAAAGGACATGCTATTGAGCTGCTGTTTAGTGTATGGCTCCACTGATTGGATCTGGGTCTTCCCTGCAGCAAAGGGAAACAGATTTAAAGGGGATTAAAGGGGAGAGGGAAACATTAGTTGGTTCATCCATGTAATCTAGAAGTGTATGGGGGTTTTTTAAATAATGCATGAAGGTGCAGTATTGGGCATGGCTGAGACAATGCACTGCTCCTGTGCATGAGAGAAGGGACAATGCTTGTTTACAAGGGGTTTATCCTTGAACAGCTATTATTCACACACACACACACACACACACACACACAAAGTTGCTGCCCAGTTAACTGGGTATACTGCCTTTTCCATCAAGAAAAAGTTCCTTACAGAAAATCAGCTCATCAATTCAATTGACGAAACATCACAGCCACACTTGTACTGAGCTCTCCGAGTTACAACTGGGTGAATTTAGTAGAATCTGCTCCACGCATGTTTCATGGATTGTCAGGAGCTGTTCAAACTGTTGTTTGCTCATTGACACAATCAGATTTTGCACATGTGTGCAAATACACACTTCTGAAAATGTGGATATCCCCCAACATATGCAGATCGTTCCAGCGCTTTAGCCTATGAGAAAATCTGTATTTTTGGTCATTTTTTGGAAAATTGTCCATATGTTTCTATGGCTTCATTTGCATAAGATTATGGAATGTGTTCTCTGGAGAGATGTGCCTGGTGCTGAGTGTATATTCTTTTTGGCACCAGGTTAAAACCTTTTTATTTAAGTGCTATTTTAAAAACTAATATTTTATCGTTCAATGGTTGCTCTCTGTTTTCAGTTTTTTGTCTTCATGTAATCTTTTATTGAATTTGTAATTTATAAAGATCATTTTACTGTTTTTTAATTGTATGTACTGTGAGCCATCCTGAGATGCCAAGGTGTGTGGTGATGGCATACAGAAGTTTTAAATAAAATAAATACATAATAAATAAGATTATTTTTAAAAAATCCTTGAACCCACACAACTCGGGAAAAGCTGCTCCACCGCACAATCTGTGGCAGGCTTCTCCAACATTCCCATCCAGAGCTTCTGGTCCATAGAGGTCTTCCTGCAAACCACTTTCCCAGCCCTGTTGAGGGCCATTAACCAGAGATGGCGGAAACCGAAACTGGGGCCTTCTGCTTGCCAAGCATACTAGTGCTAAGCCGTACTGGCGGCTTCCTTCTTGCACATGGCGCAGCAGTCATTCACCAGGTATTCCGGACAGCCTGCCCCTAAGTAACATAATGTGTATATACTGGCATATAAGACAGTCCTTGGAACCAAAAATAGCAAGGCAAAAATTGGGTGTCATCTTATATGCCCAACATAGGACAATCACCAGAAAAACCACCGAAAATACTGACCTTGTCTTATATGTAAGTCATCTTATATGCCAATGGGCGTTCAGTGTCAACCAAAACTCACAGGATTCAAGAGAAGAAACTCTTTAAGTGCTCTATGCTCTTTCCAAAACTGTATTCCTTACCACTGATGTCCTTCTCCACCCATGTGAAGGTGATCCCACCTTCCTTGCTGCTTTCACTGAAGCGTAGCAGGAAAGTGCCTGGAGGCTTTGTGCTCAGGATTGCTCTTTCCCGCTCCTTGCTGATGAATCCCATGATATACCTGACGATAATGAGAAAGAAGTGTGCTTTTGCTTTCTCATACACTTTCAAAATAAGGACTTGTAGAACATGGGAGTTGCAATGGACAGAAAATGGATCTCCAGATCTTTTGAACTTTGGCTCCTAGCATTTCTGAACATTAGCCATGTTGGCAAAGGTTTCTGGGAGTTGAAGGCCAAAATATCTGGCAATTGACCTTCAACGCACCCATTTATAGGTCTTCTGTTCAATCCTAGGCTCCATGTCGGAAATCCAGAGCTAGAGCCACTCACCCCAATGTCCAACCAGCAGACGGCCAAACAGCCTCTACCTGAAGACCTCCAGCAAGGGAGAACCCATCAATCCAGAGAACTAACTCCATCGTCCAACTGCTCTTACCACCTAGAATGTTCTCCTAACAGCCAATCAAAATCTACCCTCCGGTAATGTAAGCTGCAGAGAAGAAAACATTACTCTCCTCTATGTGGCAGCCCATCACGTATTTGGAAAGCATTAACATGTCGCCCTTCAAGCATTCTCTTCTTCCAGCTAAACATACTCAGTTCCTTCAACTTTTCCATTCCCATGGCCCTCTTCCTCTGCACCCATTCCAATTTGCCTGTATCCTTCTGAAGCAGGACACAAGGCTCCAAATGAGGGCCAACTAGCGGTGAACAAGGCAAGAACCATTTCTTTCTGACTTTGTCTACAGTAGCTGCAATTGCTTGATGTTTCTCAGAAGCTTCACAGAGGACCAAAAAGGCCTGTATCAACTGTGTCACTGTTTTCTTTTTCCCTCTCATTTTGACTCTAGTGTAGGAGGCCGAATCCAGATCTTAAAAGCCACCCCACTCCTCATGCTTGGGTTTTAGAGCAAACAGGGTTCCTGTACGTAACTCTAGAAAAGTAAAGCAACATAAAGACAAAGATCTAAAGGTATGTCTGTTTTGGTCACAGAGGTTGAACACTTCCCCTTTCTCAAGTCTCTGAAGAGACCTCAGAAAGTGGCATTTTACTGGTAAGAAGTGGTCAGAAAGAGCCCTCTCAAGAGTGCAGACACTGGCAACAATAGTGGCCTTTCTGGCACATGCTCACCCTTCATTCCAGAGTGCCAAGATGTACTTCTTCACCAGGTCAATGATATTGTCCAGCCAAACCCAGAAAGAGAACCCTTTGCCTGCCATGTTCTCCTGCAGAGAAGATTGCAGAGGAGACCCACATAAGCAAAACAGTACATCCACCCTGTGCCCCAATACCTTGTCTGATCTTTGGAAATCCCTACCTTGCAGAACTTTGCCCAGGTTATCTGACATCCAGAGTAATTGACACCAGGCCCTGCAGTGAGGAGGAGGAGGAGGAGGAGGAGGAGGAGGAGGAGGAGGAGGAGGAGAAAAGAGCCATTAAAGATGCTGTGGTGGTGGCAGACCAGGGCCAGAGAGACTCTGGTTTAAATCCCCACTCACCACAGAGCTCCTTGAGTGAATTTGGGTCAGTCACTATCTCTAGCCCAACCTACTTTACAAGCAAAAACACTGACAAAGTAAGCTGATCAAAATCTCCGCAGATCTTAAGCTTGCACAACTGTGTGAAATTTTGGTTGGTGCTAATTAATTATTGCCCAACTGTGGATTTTGGATTCTTTCCCACCTTATAGGACTATTGCCACAATAAACATGGTGGGGTGGGAGTCAAAGTATTTTTGCCACCTTGAGCTTCTTCCTTGGGCAAAAGACATATTTAAAAGTGAATGACTATATTGACATGAAAAAGTCAAGTGCAACAGCTAGCCTGGGATGTGTTGATTTTTTAAAAAAAACTGGTACAAAAAGCTGGAATGCTACTATTTGGGCTTCCAGGCGTGCAACCTATTCTTTATACGCACAAGAAGAGGACAGGTTCTTACCAAGCAATTTCTCAGCAAGTGTCGTCAGCTGCTCAATGCTGAGTCCTCGTTTAGTGGTTGAGGAGAACTGCCAGCTCAGCACTTCGGCAACCTGGTCCCAAGTGCCAATGGGTGGCTTGGTGAAGAAGTTCACGTTCTGCCAAGAGAGGCAGCAATCACGAGTTGGAATTAGGAATCAGGAATGCCTCCCACCCGCCCTTCTTGATCTTTTTCGAGCTCCAGGGTTTGGGAAGTGCAGCATACCTTAGGGTTGTTTGTCAGCATGTTGTACCACAAGATAGATGCCCAGGCATTTGGCATCTGGCAAATGTTGGAGATCACCACTACAGGGAGTGAGTGAGTCTATAGGAAGGAAGCACAGTTGCTCTCAGCACGGAAAAATCTCTTTCCCTTTATTTACACGTTCCATTGGCACTGTTGGGTAACAGAGCTGTGAATGCCCATTAAACACGCGCACACACGTGCATATCGGGGGGGGGGCAGGTGTTCAGGAAAAAGACTCCCCCATTTTTTCCTGGGGAAAAAACATGTTTTTCAAATGTTTCGGCTTCTTCCACCAGCCCCCCCAACTCTAAGCACACAACACCCTCCTCCTCTTAGGAACCGAACATCAAGATTCTAGTCTTCACGCATCACAAATCTAAGTGTCTCAGCCAGAGGTTCACTAGATTCCTTCCATCTCTGTGATGAAAAGAACCAGTAAGTTTAGCATCAACTCAGAGTAAAAGGAAGGTAGAGGGAAGAAATGAGCAGCGTAATCATCGCTGGTTTTGCTTGAACAGACACAGCTAGAATTGGTCATGATTTGCTTTGGCCACCCCCACGCCATGACTACAAGAGAGGACCTCTTGCAGGGTCACTTCCCTTTCCAGTGGCAAACAAACCACCCGATACAGGAGGTGGGGCAAGCATGAGGAAATACAGCTCAGGATATCTGTGGGGCTCACCTCTAGGTCAATCTTCAAACCTTGGTGGTAAACCTCTGTTTCAAAGGTAATGAGATGGAGCTCTTCTGTGACGATGAGAGAGGCCTGAGGAGAAAGTGGCCACAGAAATACGTTAAAAATCTTAGTTTAGGTAGCATGTTTAGCCTTTTGAAAAACTTGCAATTCCCGTTTCAGTTTAGATTTGCAACCAGACTGGCAAGGTATAATTAAGATGAAAGAAAAGGGAAAGGGTTTCAGGGCTAAAAAGCTGCTTGGAGACAGATTTTTCCTGCCAGCAGACCTGTCACAGCCTTAGTCTTTGCCGGAGATACTTCATAGGAAGCAGCTTAGGAAAAGACAGAGAGCCCCAACAGCTCTTTGGAAGTTTCCACAGGAATCCAATAATGGATTTGGGAGCAATATTGAGAGAGAGAGAGAAAAGGGAGAGGTTCAGAGGAATCATTACTGCTGTTAGCACATCTCACTGGAGCTGTATATGTAATGACTCCCTATTCTAATGATTTATCTTTCTCATCAGCAGCATGAGGGGCACTCACGTCACAGTTTGCTCTACCGCCATTACCACATCTCTGTTCCCGCAATGTCTGTGGGAAGGAAAAAGAAGAAGAATTAGACACTATGGCCTAGTTCTGATATTACACTAGAGCAGCTTCAAAATAGTTTAGCATTATATGAATGTGCCTATGGTCCCTTCAGTCTTGCACACTCCCTCCACCTCTGGCACAGCTGTGAAGAGGTAGAAAGCTTTTGCTTCTGTTTTTATTAGCCTCCACTTGCCATCTGAACCTGGACAAACTGTGATTAACTGTAATTGTGGTTTGTGGAAAGAAGCCAGCTTCAAACCACAGCTTATGAAGCTAGCTTGTTTTCACTAACCATAGTTAAACAGAGGTGCCAGGCTGCTGATGGGGACGGGGCGTTGTGCTCGCATGAATCCTGTCCTCCGTCAGCTTCACTGGCTCCCCATTGAAGTCTGGGCCCAATTCAAGGTGTTGGTTATCACCTATAAAGCCCTTAATGGCTTGGGACCTGGTTACCTGAAGGAGCGCTTACGTCCATATGTGCCCTCCTGCCCCTTGAGATCAGCGGCAGAGGCCCTTCTCCGGGAGCCCTCCGTGAAGGACATTAGGAGGGTGAGCACCTGAAGGAGGGCTTTCTCTGCGGTGGCGCCCAATCTATGAAATGCGCTCCCCAGAGAGGACCACCTGGCACCGTCGTTATTTGCTTTTCGGTGCCAGGGCAAAACCTTTTAATTTAAACGTCATTTTAATTGTTGATTTTATTTATTGATTTTAACAATTTTGGCCAGGATGTCTCCAACTTTATATAATGGTATCGATGCTATGTATTTATTTATGTTTGTAAGCTGCCCCAAGGCTCTGGTGAATGGGGCGGCATATAAGTGTGCAAAATAAAATAAAATAAAATAAAATAAAATAAAAAGACTAATCACAGGGTAGGGTTTAGCTGCATTGCTAAATGATGCTTAATCGACAATGAAAGGGGAAGTGTACAGTCTCCTGGCAGAGGCCTCAGAGAAGGAGAGGGGATGCAACAGCATGACTGTGCAAGTCCAGGGCTTGCTGCAGTTCCCCATCATAACAAAACTTGCTTTACTGTGACGTGTGCAGGGGAAAGAAAAGCAAAGCCATGGTGCTCACCAAATGCTTGAATTCTGCAGAGAGGCTACCATTGTTGGACTCCTCCATGTTCATCACCTTGGTGTTTGTGCCCAGGATATTAAACTTGCGGGACCTTGATGGGCAAAAGAGAGTGCTTGAGCATGTAGAGCAGCAGTGACTTTCCACAGCACAGAAGGACATCTGGGCTGTTATCTTAAATGTGAGACTGCCAAAGAGCACAGGGCCTTGAACTTACCCCCGAAGGGCAGCTACCTCTCCAGAATCCCTGCGGAAGAAGAGGTGGGCACAATCAAGTCAGGAGGCAGAGGCACAGGGTAGGTAGATCATGTTTCAAAACACAGACTTCAGAAAAGCACTGCAGCAGGAGAAGCCAAAATTCCCACCCTCAAATTACTAAAGTATGTATTCAAACTTACTTATCAATGCAGACTTTGATTTTCAGCTGGTAGTTCAGCTCTGGAAATTTAACCAATAACCTGTAGAAGGCAAAGCATGTGTTAGCTTTTGAAGTCACAGTCTCTCCCTCACTCATTCCCTCTCACATACACACATCCCACTTGGTCTGCTAGTGATTTGCTTCGGAAAGGGCTGAGTTGGGAGCAAACAGCTGAGCGACTGATCAAAAACTGACAACGCATGTCAGGTGAAATGATATTTGGTGCATATAAAAGTTGCTGTGCTTGTTCCACTGTTCTCCAGTTACAATGCGCAAACACTGAATTAGGTGCTGAGAGTATATTCAGAGTCTTGGAAATCTCATCTTCCATTGTTTGAAGAAGCAAGCTGTCAAGTCATTAAGGCAGCACCAACAGGCTTGAAAATGTCTGGGCAATGCCCAGTGGAGCCCACTGCCCCTCCCCAAGCATAGCAGAAGTGGAATGCATTGTGAAAAACAAAAAGGCACTCATGTAAGCTGCACAGATTGCCGTATCTAGCTTTTTCAGTGCAGACTTTTGCTTACCTGGATGCAGAATGTTAAGTACAACAAGCACTCGGGCTTGCGTATAGCTACATCATCCTCAACTACCCCTCCCTCTCTAAATGCATATAATAAGAATGCAGACAACAACTTACCGCACTTTTGTTGTGAATTGTACTCCAGTTTTGATCACCAATGGGCGATCTGGGTGCATTGGCATACAGGGCTGCCGTTCCACCACAAATGCACTGGAAGGAGAGAGTGAGGACAATATTGGGAACTGGGGCATGGAGGAGAGGTGGTGATGGAAACTTCCAATCTCAGGGAAAGTTTCCAAGAAGCATACATCCAGATGGAGAGGCCTGAGGATTTTGTCTGGTCTTCACTTTAAAGCAAACTGAGCCACACTTCCTGGATTGATGTGTGGATGAGAACACAGTTAACAGCCCTTATGTTTCATACGTCAGATTTTGTGATGTAGTTCCAGACTCTGAAATCTTGGACCAAAATGCACACGAGAATGCATTTTTAGGGCAAAAAGCATTCAAGATGTATCTTTTAGGGCAAGAATGGGAAGGAATGGGCTTATGAATAAACATGCAAATTGAAGCAGATCGGAACAAGAGGGACCTGTTCAACTCTAGACACACCATTTCAGCCCCTACCTCCATCTGCACAGGACTGGGGTGTCTCCCCAACTCCCACCCCAGAATGACAGGTAATACCTCTTCATGAGGTTCCTGAATAGATCCACAATGCGCTCCTCCAACAAGGGCCGGTGCTGAACAATAGGGTCACCCTTGTAGGAGACCTTTTGCTGGAGCTCCTCAAGCTTCTTGATCTGCTGACGTGTCTGAAGCTGTGACTCAGCTAGGGATGTTATCCTGGGACAAGCAGGGAGAAAGGAGCCACAGATCAAGAAAGCCAACATTTCATTGGAACAACAATGCCTTTTCTTTAGCACTGCCAGCTTCTGGCCAGATCAATGCAAGGTGGACCATCAGTGGGGATGGGAAACCTGTGAGGCTCAGTTCTTGGACTCTGCCTTCCATCAGCCGAGGGGTGAGAGAGGAAGGGAGCAGCAGGCAAACAACTTCAGGAGGTTCCCCACTACAGACTTAAGACCAGTATTGTCTCCTCTTACAGGGTCACAGAGTCTTCAACCACAGTGGGCTTCCATGTCTCTCCCTCTCACAGTTCAGAAGCTTTCCCCAATAAGCAAACTATGCATTCTGTGTCCCTCTCTGCTGCCGTCTGCAACAGGCTGTCACTCCATCCTCTGCAACACTGGAGTTGCTTCCTGCCTTGGGGTGCCTCAGAAAGCAACCAAGCTCTCCTTCTTCAACATCATGGAAAGGGAACGGGCTGGCCAGCTCACCAAAACAGAAGGGAAGCCCAGTCACCAAATTCTCACCAGTTCTCTAGGCGATCAAGACAGATGTTGGGTGGGCCGCCAATACATGCGATCTGCTGCCTCCTCTTCCAGTCAGCTAGCTCCTCATCTACCAGCATCTTCTGCACATACTCCATAGCCGACAGGAGCCCAGCCAGCTCACTCACAATTCCCTGTGGCAAGGAAGGAACAGGCACACTGAGAGCTCTCTGCCGCTTGCCTGATTGGAATCACTGATACCTGATGCTTCCTGACATCCAAGGCTGTTTGCATCATCCTTCCCCAACCTGCTGCCCTGCAGATTCAGCAACACATCTGGAGGACAGCAGGTTGGGGAAGGCTGGCTTATATTCTTCCGCAAAAGAAAAAAAGCAACACATTTCTTGCATTTTATCCTCACAACCACCCTGGTGAGGAAGGATAGGATGAAAGTCTGTAACTGGGCCGAACCCATCCAGTAAGCTTCTCAGAGAGGGAAGACCAGAACCCAGGTCTCCTGAGTCCCAAACCAGCACTCTAACCACATGGACTGCAAAAGCAGACATCTCCTGCCTTGCTTTCCTTGCAGGTGTGCAGAGAGCCATCTGCTAAGAGTACAGTCCAGCAGCAGCTGCACAAAGCAGGAGAAGAGAATCAAAGGAGAAGGTGGGAGGGAGCCGTCTCACAATAACACTTACCCTCCGCATTTGATCCAGGGCTGACAGCATTTGCTCCAGCTGTTGCATCTTCTGTCGTGTCACTGCCTGGTTGTTCCCATTCAGATCCTGCATATCTGGGGAGCCATAAGGGAAGAGAGATAATCTCTAGAAATCAATGTTCCTTCTTGAAGATTTCTCTCGCACACCTGTATGTGGCAATGTAACTTTTATTTCAGGTAAATGAGTGTCATGCTCTTGGTTAGCACTCTATAACCATCTTAGGTTTTTCCCTGCACATCAGTGTGATATATTTTTCACTCTGAAGTCCGTTCTGGTGGCTACTTTTTCCTTTCCAAATTCAATTTAGGAACCAGTAACTTATCTTCAAATCCAGAGAATGCACTCTCTAGCTTCTGCTCCTCTTTCAGCTTTACACTTCTTGTTTCTGTCTTTTCTTGCTGATATTGGGAAGACACACCCAACAAAATGACCACACTGTAAAATGTGCTATACATGCAGGAAGTAATGGGTTGCACGATCCTAATGAAAACTCCCTTCTGCACAAGCTTCCCCTGCCTTTGCTTTAAAAGGCAACATCTGCAGCGTCATTGGACAAGCATCCTTGTGATGCAGACAAGGGGTGATATATGGAAGCTTCCCTACCCATGAATTATCTGCACTGGATAAATCTCTCGTGTTGCTAGGCACTTCAAACAAGTTTCCACTTACCGCCTTGACTCTTCAGAGTCTTATAGTTGAAGTCAAAGTCATCCTGGAGGTTTTCCACCACTTTCATCTTTTGCTCCAGGTCCTGCAAGACAACCAAAACATTGTTGGAACAACAGTGTTGGTCCAAAAATATTGTGCATGGGTTCACAATACTGAAACAAGTTGGATGTGTGGGTGACCAGGAAACCAAAAGCATGACCTCGCCCACCTACCTGCACCCTCTTTCGCACATCTTGCAAGTGTTGCTCCAGCATCTGCTGTTTCTCTGTCACGACCGAAGCTGTAGGGTGGTTTGCCTGCCCACCTTGCTGCAGTAGAGTGGAAAAGAGGTTAGGAGAGAAGAGGAGGAGGAAAAACATTATACAGAGTGCCTTCTCATTTTCCTCCACCAAAAGTGCTTTACTGAGGCATCATCCTCTTTACGCTATTTAGGCGAACAGTGAAAACATCATTATTTCTTTTGGTTCTTAATGCTTTTAAATTAGTGATTGTTCATCTCTTCCCCTTTAAAGCATTAGCTGTTTAGGAAGCAATCTTATGGTTGTTAGATACTACTTAAGAAGCCAAAGGATTTTTCAGATTCCCAGCTCAGATTCCTCCCCATCCACTTATAGATGCATTGCATGTCCCTACCCAAACAGCCTCAAGTCCTCTGTCAAAACCCCCCTTTTAAATGGAATCCACAGCTGTGTCAGCTGTCAAAACCCCATTTCAACTAGAAAAGGGGTTTTCCTTGCGCTTTCCAAAGAAACTATAACATGGGGGAAAGTGCAAAAAGTGCATCACCTTGACTGCAGTCAGAGTGCGTGCATGCATGCATGCGTGTAGAAATTAAGATGTTCCCATGAAAGGGTATAAATTATAATACTCTCTTTTCATGGGCAAAGATCACTTGCACTTTTGGTTTTGCCTTGAGAGTTTGTCATTTAACAACTGTCAAGAAAAACCAAAGTGATGTAGGGAAACACAGTATTCAAAGTCTCTTTGGAGCAATGTCCCAGAGTTGACATCTTCTGCACCCTGGTAGCAGGTAAACCCCGGGACCCCACATCAGTTGAGACTTCGAATGCCTGCACTGCTACAAGCATGAAATCACCACAGTTGTGTAAGTCTGGCTAAGAAAGGGTTAAAAAAAAAAGAACAAATCTATTTGCACATTCGGTTTGCAATTTTTCTGGAATGCAATCTGACAGCCCTTTTGAAGGAGCTGTCACTGGTTGTCAAAAGAGGGATTGCAAAAGCCAGCTATAAAGCTGGTTTTCATGATCTCTGGGAAAAGTGGCAAAACCCCCCAATGGTCACCAGAAAAGGTCTCACTCCTGGCAGGGAGAGGGGAGACAAATTGGTCCTACAGTGGCATCTGCTTGGTTACCTGTGGGAAGATGAAGCAGAAAGATAAAGAGGGGATAGGGCAGACAACCCACCGTGAGAGCACTGTGGACTGCTTGGTCGGTAAACAACCCACCGTAGCATGCCTACTTAGGAGGAAGTTCCATTAACTTTCTGTTTCAGAAAATTTACCAGAAAAGACCATTTTGGTTTTAAAAAAATGAAAAAACAACGGTAAGCACTCCATGTTTCTCAGAAGAATGGTTAGTTTGTCAAAGACAAAAATAGAATGGCAAAAACATGCTTGATCCTATGGAAAGAGACAGCAGATATATGGGGTTATGGAGCACCTCTGTTTAGAGATACTATTGCACTCCAACCATGAGAACTTTAGGCAGGAAGTGCAACAAGATGCAGTTAGATGGATCCAAATGAAAAATTTCAATTCATACAGTAATTGTATGCCTTGATAATATTGAGTGTGAATCTTAACATTTTTGTATGCTGCCCTCCCCCGCCATCCATTAACCCAAATTTGTCAGCCAATAACATTTATTTATTTATTTATTTATTTATTTAGGGCTTTTATGTACTGTCCAACTAAAATTGACTTAGAAGTTGTTAAACATTTAGTATATTTTAAGTGGAGGAAGTAGGTAGTTACTTTGTTTTTATTTCAGTAAGGTAGCAGTTCTGCTTAAACAGCTTATTTATTTTGTTTAAGGAAGTGTAACATTTCCTACATGTGAGTGCAATGTCACAATATTTAATTGTTTTGTTTTTCAATCTGGCTTTTTTAAACTTCCTCAAAACACATGCTTTCTCCAACTGCTATTACATTTTGCTCTCTTCTTTTTAAGCAAGGAAGCGTTCTGAAAAAGCAAGCTGCTTATTATTGCTTTCAGTGTTTTCCAAATTGTAATCCAGGTTAATTCAGGTGAAAAATTAACCTGGAAAAACTCATCAAGTTTAGTGGTTACATCTTAGATAACTTCTTCAATCAGAAACACTGGAACATTCAAATGTCATTTTTTTCATTCTTTGACTTTTCCTCTAGTGCCCATTCCAAATAGATCTGCATGTAATTATAATTCCATTTCAATTTTCTTAATTGTTCATGTCTCCATGGAAGTTGTAAAAGAATAAGCCAATATGTGAGTAACCATTCTTCAGAACAGAAAAAAAGCATAGTCTTACAGATGGGCTGAAATGCTGCTAAAATTGCATGAACAGCCGGATCATGTTGATTTTAGGGGAGATGGTGGGAAAACAGTATTTTTACCTGGGCCACAGAGACTTCCAGTCAATATCTAGCTTTTAAATAGAGAACATTCTTGGAACTTCGCAGAGGTTCCAAGCCATCCTCCTCACCACTGTTCCTTTGAGATGTGTTGGGCTATAACTTCTATCATTCTTGGCCTGCATGTCCAACATATCTGGAGGCCTGGAGAAGTTCTCTTTGATGCCCCGCACGTGTGCTAGGAGAGGGAATGCAGCAGCTTCCCTTCACTAGGTGACTTAGCTGCTAGATGCCAGATACAGACAATATTCCTCTGATGACCCCCCCCACCCACACACTTCCACCAGAGACACATGTTTCCGTCTTCTACCATGGTGGGTAATACAGAAACCCTGCTGCCCATCAAATTCATTTTTGCAAAAAAAAAGAACCCCTTGTTTTGAAACAGGGGAAGTCCTTGTTTTTAAACAAACAAACAAGGTATCCTCAGTACCTATAGATCAAAACTACTTTAAGATCAAAACTACTTTACAAGAAAACTAATTTTGATGCTTTGCATGCTTCAGAACCAGCATGGATTCCATTTTCATTTTACTTTTCAGCACCTGGCAGGGAGAAGTTGGCCTTCAAAGGGACCCAGCAGGGACAAAAAACACTCCATAACCTGATATTGTCCTCCCTAGTCTTATACACCCCAGCTGCTGAACTTACAAGAAAACTAGGATATGGGAAACATTTACCATTTGATCATCTATCCCAACAGAGTGAGTGTGTATGTTAAGAAAGTATAGCTGTGGGGAATGCCTAAATCTTGACCCAGATTGAAGCAAGCCATGCCACCAAAATTTTATTAATGTATTATTTAAAATATATATCCTGCCACTGTGTAAAGTATGGTGTTCAAGGCAGCCAATAGTAAAATCTGAATTAAAAACAAAATAAGAATTGAAGTTAACGTAAAAGCCAATTGATTAAAAACACAAAATTATCCCCTAAAGTTGCTGTTGATTCATATAATCACAGACTCATAGAATGGTAGAGTGGGAAGGGGCCATGAAGGCCATTGGGTCCAACCCCCCATTGTTGCAGGACACAATTTACATCATCCCATTCAGATGGCTGTCCAGATTCCCAAAAGGGCCACTGCAGGAGCTGCAGCATGGGAGAAAAATTGCAATTTCTGCAAAGGGGTGTTGTGAGTGTGAAGACTTCACAGGGGAACGACCATATTGGACACCCTCTCTGCATGTCACCAAGTTTGCTCAGGTTTATTTACTTAATTTCTATGTCACTTAACAACTGAAGCTGTTTGGGTGGTTCACAAAGCAGATTAAAAATAATAATAAAAGATGCATCATATTAAAAACAGATGAAAACATCATTAAAGGTTTACAATACAAAATTTAAAACCAAATTTTAAACAGATATATATTTATCTGTTCAAAATTAAGTTTTAAATCTTATATAGATGTAAAAACTTACAGGAAGAAAAATGGAAAAAGAACTAATCTTCAGACCTGTTTCTCAGCAAGGCCTCAGAAAGCTGCAGGTGACATTCACCCCTATAGGTGAGGTACAAGAGGTTGCCACCTTGCATATGCAAACTAAGCTAGGGGATTGATGGGATGTGCAAACCCAGGGAATGTGGGTTACATGAGGGTTTAACTCTCACATAACCTGTGGTCTGTTTTAGAGTTGTGGAAGGCATGTTTAACCCTCACAGAACCCATGACTGCTGGGTTCATACAGCAGCACAGTCCTGGAACAGGGGCTGGAAACATGAAATGGTGGCTGTATAAGACCTGCACACTCAGCCTCACTGTGGGTTGCTGTGTTATACAAACTGGCCCACTGTCTCAACATAGCCTGATCCCCTCCCTCCTCGCAATTACAATTGTGAAAAGAAAACAAAAAGCCTGGGACAGATGGTGATGTGGTAACAGTAGCCAAACAGGTACAAACAGTTCTGGCAGCGATGGCTCTCTTTGCAGGCCTGGCTTCCCCACAAAAGGCAGGCTCCCCTCTAGGAGCAGGGCACCTGCTGCCCTCCCCACCTTACAGGAACAAATGGTGACACTACGACAAACAACTCAAGCAGACACTGCCCTTCACCTGTGCCGCTGTTGCTGCTGTCTGCAGCAGCCGATTCTCCTCCCAGAGGCAACGGGCCACAATCCGGGCTATCTCCATTGGTTTCTCCAGGTACCTGCTCTGTAAAGACAAAGAGAAATCAGATAAAAACATGGTGGCATTGTTGATGCACAGTCAATACTTCAGTGGCAAGACTCATCCTCCTTCCAGCCAACCCCCTTAGGCTCCTAAGATCCACTCTGCTAGATCAGACCCTGGGTCCCCTCATCCAGCTTTTCTGTCTCCAAGAATAGCCAGTCAGGTATTTCTGGGAAGCTCAATGGCTGGGCATGAAGGGGACGGCCTTCCTCAGTCATACACCCGCAATAGTCCCTAGGGACCTGGTTTTAAGGATGCTTAGGAAGAAACAAAACCATCACTGTCAAAGATGACATACAGTTTACTGAACCCAGTAACAAATTATGGATGCAGACTAAAAAGAGGTGAAAGAATGCTTAGCCTCCCCTTTTCTGTGTCTGTATTGACTCCCTGAATAGGCTGAGTTCTCCAAGGCTGCCTGGGTGCATGACACTTCAGTTCCCAGGCCAAAAACTATAAATAGGATTTTATAAAGTTTCTTTCTCCCACAGTTTCAGAGGCTATCAGTACACACAGGCGTTTATTCCAAATTTCCCTTGAGATGTGGGGGAGGAGGGCAAAGCTGTTTCAGCAAAGGGAACAATTTTGGTTCTTACAGCCAAAAGCAGCTCTAATCTAAGGAATATACTTGGGGAATGCAGCTTCAAGGCAATTATCTCTAGTGGGCTTCCTAAGGTCATTATAAGTTTTTCAGCACCAGGTCAAGACCTTTTTATTTGGGCAATATTTTAACATATAGTAATTTTAATTGTGTTAGACTTATTTATTTTAAATAATGCTCAGTGTGGAATAGTTAACTTATATTATTGATGACAGTATTGGACAGCCTACAAATTTTTCAAATAAATAAATAATGCTTTGGTGCGGCTGCAAAAAACTATCCTGGCTTTTGGACAATAGGGGGGCAGGGGAAGCATGCTTTCTGCTACCTGGTGATGGTCTCATATTCACAATTACTGGCCATGATGTAAAAACCAAAATTAGTTAAGTTTTACTAATACAGTGGTACCTCAGCTCATGAATGCCTCAGTTCATGACCGAATTGGTTTGCGAACAAAAAATTCATAAAAATTTTGATGCAGGTTGCGAACTCCACATTGGGTGGTGACCGTGATCGCAGCCAGCTCCCCCCCCCCCCGAGCGGGGAGATGGCTGCAATCGTGCTGGGCGCAGGGGGAGATGGCCGAGATCACGCCCAGCTTTCCTGCACGAGCACACCCATGATTGCACCCTTCTTTTCTGCGTGAGCGCAACCACGCTCTCGGCCATCTCCCCCCCCCCCCGCATGAGCGCGCCCATGTTCACGCCTGTCTCTCCCCACCCCCACTGCGCCGGGATGATGGGCACATGCAGGAATGACTGGCGCGAACACGGTTGTGCTGGCGGGGGGGCGGGAAGATGGCTGCACTTGTGCTCAGGGTGGAGGGGGGAGATGGCCGCGATCTTTGTTGTTCTTTGTCACTTTGCTCCATATTTTTCTGATTAAAAAAATAGTTACAGAATGAATTAACCTTATTTACATTGAACCTTACAGGGAAATTTAACTTGGCTCACGACCAATTTGGGTCACAACCAGAATCCTGGAACAGATTAAGTTTGTGAGCCAAGGTACCACTGTACTTCATTTAGCAAAGAGCTGGTACAGTGGATGCGAGAGCTGAGTTCTGAGCAAAGTTATTTTAGTAATTTTTTTGGATTTGTATCCTGCTTTTCCACCAAAGGATGCTCAAATGTCAACTCTGGCATAAACATACAAGGTGAATGTGATTTTTCTCTGCCTCTCCTCCTCTGTCAGCTCTCAGCACATCAAACATCCAACTGTCAAATACTGTTAAACAGCAGGAAGTTTCCTGTCACTTCAACCTTCTTCAGAGGCAAAGGATTCAACCTAGGGTCAGCCAATGTACTGGGGCAACTACAATCTAGCAATCTCGTATCTAGCAATGAAAGGAGACACTGCAGAGAATTACTTCTCTCTCTCACTCTAGTGTTTCAAGGTAGCCAAAACCGTCATTCCCAGGTATCAGACATTCCTTCTACTTAGGACATTTATGACATGGGTCACTATTCATGGGGTTCATGTATTGTGAGACCACTCAACACTAAGATCTCCCCATCATTCCCACCTGTAAGAATTGCTTGATCCGGCGCAGGTTGTGCTGGTAGAGAACGTTGGATTCCTGAAGGAAGCGGCTGTACTGTTGATCAATTTCACCCAGGAGGTTGTGGAAAACCAAGGTGGCGTGGGACTCCTTGCTGGCTGCATAAGCCCTGCACAGATGGGGAAGTGAGCGTTGGAAGCATAGTGGCAGGAAAGCACACTTACACAGCAACTTTCGTGCTCGATCCCTGAGATCAAGAATCCCCTTCTCAGTCTAATTCCACAAATGCTGTTCTCCATTAGAACCAGGAAGTATGATTAATTTCAGGAAACCTCTGTAGCTTCTCAAAGAGTAAGAGAGATTAATGTGAATTTCCAGAATGTTTTTGTAAGCACTAGTCAGGAAATTCAAGAGCATACACCCATGAACTAAAGATACTCAGAAGTCACAGCACTCCAGCCATCTACTGCATTGCATTATTTTAAGGCAAGGGGCGGCATAGAAATGTTTTAATAAATAAATAATAAATAAATAAAGTTAAATTAGGGGGTGTCAGTTTTAAGCACATTAAGTGTCAATGGAGTCTGGTGTTTAAGCATGCGCCAGCAGCCGGCAGGTCAAATCTGGTCTCCCTGAGCAATTTTGCCCGGTCCCTACAGCACGACAAAATGTCAATCAAGTGGTTTTTTTTTTTTTAAAGACAAAGGAACTAGTTGCAGGAGGAACAAAACAAGCCAACACGCTCCGTACTTTTGCCTCGGTCCCACCCAGTGTCAATAGATCCCGTCAGAGAAAACACACAGTCCCCAACAACTGTGCTGATAGATGGCACCACCTAATGATGGAGTTGAGCCCTATGTAAGAAGGGGCATCAGTATGCATAGCCTACAACTCCCATCATCCATGCCACCTGGCTGTGTCAACTGCACCTGGCAGGAGTAGGAGCTCGACATCATCGGGAAACCACAGTTTGCACAGCACAATGCATATCTGAATTCTGAAGAAGCAGGCACTCTCCTGAGAGGGAGAAGTCAGCTGTCCTCGAACACATATTTTAAAATGTCCCTTGCAACAAATGCTCCTGCTCCCAAAATGGCCGTTTTTCCCCAAGGCTTCTTGCAAGCGCTGTAGCGCTTGGACCATGAGGGATCGTGTCCTATGCATGCCGACTATGAGACAGATGCCCAGCAGCTCACCAGTCTTGGCTCTCTATCCAGGGTGCAAGGAACTGCCGCAGCTCCATCGGAAAGCTGTCACTGTAGAGTTGGTGAAGTTGCTCCAAATACCGGGTGTCCAACTGCTGCAATTGGTTCCACTGCGCCATCTTGGCAGCTGACACTAGAAATCGGAGCGGGAGGGGAATGGAGAGAGAATACAAAACATGGTTACATTAACTTGTTGGTAAATAAATAAAGTTTTATATACTGTTATGAAAAACTGAAGAACCCTTAAATATGCAATAAAATTGAGAGGTCAGACCTTCATACTACTTATTCATAAGTGCAACACGCACTCAATAATCAAATTAAACCATATCCGGTTCTTTTTCTCCTACTTATTCATCAGGGTTAGTTCAGTCTCAGCTTTCTAAGAATCCAAAGCCCTGCTTCATTTTGATGCCAGGGCAGAGACTTGTGTGTGCTCGTAATCTCAATTTATACATTAGTACGATCTGCCAAATTTTCTGTTTTTGTTCCTCTGGCAAGAGCACTTCCCAAGGGTTCCAATAACTGTTGCAGTAAATAACAAATCACAGGCCATTTTCAATCTCCCCATCCCCCTCTATAACTTCTTTCCCCAGAAGCAGCATTTGGTGTGTAGTTCACATCCAGTAATACGAGATAAGTCATCTGCTGTGCAAAAATGAAAACAACAACAGAAAGAGGACTTTTAAGCTTCTGAGAAATGAAAAACTTCTGCTTTTTTTAACCTTCACAGGTTTAGTAGATATGTCAGACTTCAGGGTCATTCTAAGAAATTCTGCTGTTTGAGATTAACAAACAAAATTGCCCCCATCTCAGTCCCAGCTGCATTCTATGTGCAGAAGCCGACCGTACTAGCAGTAAATTTCTGGTGATGGAACAATGCATAAAATCAAATTTATAGCCTACTTGGAATAAACCCCTTGGACGTATGACTAATGAAATAATGTGCATTTTAATGAATATTCTAAGAAGGAAGTATCTGGAATTTCACCTACAACTGCTGTATCTCAAAGCTAGCTTAGAACACATGGGGCAGGCATCACAGTATGTGCAGATCTGTCCCCCAATACCTCCCTACAGTTCCCCAGCACCCCACCTGCAGACTCACTCTTTCTAAAGCTCAGTTCTCCAGTGGGAGAATTTTGAAGGGTGGGAGCTCATCATGAGAGTCCCAGTAGCCGTTCCTTCATGGAGACCAAACGTTCAGGCAGCTGGGTTACAAAGCAGCTTGCAGGAATTTTCATCTCCACCAGGAGCAGAAATTTTGTAAAGCTAATTGTCGAAGACCAAGCCAGCTCAAAATCCTCCTTACAAGAGGGGGTCCACTATATTTGTTGGTTGGAAAATTCCACATACACACACCCTTACAGGGAAAATTACAACTCAGAATTCTCCAGGGAATTCAAAGGGTGCAGGCAAACGGTCATAACCCTCAACTTCTATGCTTCAAAAGCAGGTGGAATATCCTATACCACTCCTGCATTTTTTAATTAACGGAAGCATTTCTCCTCAGTACAACCCTGCCCTGGGAAGGCATGCCCATTCAGTTAGCTTGAACTGCACAGCCTGTGCAGCCAGAGATGAATGCAGCAGAGTTGATCACACAAGGAAGAGGTCTGGAGAAGATGGCTGCAGTGGGCTAGAGTATCTCCCATTCCAGAGGCACTGCTTGTGGGCTTCCTAGAGGCACCTGGACGGCCACTGGGGGAAACAGGATGCTGACCTGGATGGGCCTTTGGTCTAATCCAGCCTGGCTGTTCTTATGAGTTTACAGTTACAGCATCTCCTCTTCCATGATTAGAGGAGAAAAGCTGTCTGTCTGGAAGGCTTTGCTTCTCTCCACACAGGTAGCACATAAGAGATAGCTTTGTAAAACAAATTTGCTTATTCTGATCATTGACTTTAGCTTCCCCTGGCACAGAATCCTCTCCCTTTCTCATGGTTAGAACACTTCCTCCTTGAGGAACTGTTGACACTTTCTCCCTCTGCGGGGGTGGGGGACTCATTAAGGATGCATTCTAATAGAGGACCTTTCCAAAGGAGCAAAGTTCAGGGAACCAAGGTTCAATCGGGATGCCAGGAAGTACTTCCTGACAGTTAGGACTCCTAGCGCATGGAATGGGCTTCCACACGAGGTGGTTGAAGCCCCATCAGTGAAGGTGTTCAAGGATAGGCTGGACATGCACATGGTAGGCACGTCATGAGTGGAGCCGGCTGGAGCTGGGGGTCAGACTAGATGGCCCGGGAGACCCCTTCTGACTTGCCGTTTCTATGTCTCTATTGTTCAATGTCATAAATACTATACTAGATTTCTTTAGATTTCAGCATTTCAGTTTTCAATCTATATCTAAAGTCTCACTAAATTAAGTTACCTACCAAACATGGGCATTAATTTCAGCTTTTCATTTAATGAAATTGATCTGTCCAGCTTTTACTTCTTGAATATTCTGGACCTTCCATTTTTCTGTCTAAAGTGCAAATATACCAGCTAGACAGGATAGTTCTTCTGTGTTCGTGTAATGCTTGGAAGTGGATCAAGCAAGGCAGATAAGTTTGTTAAGACAAGTGGTTATAAACAGATGCTTAAAGGAAATCCAAAACAATGTTTACAAAAAAAAAAAATCTAAATTGGACTTTTTCAGCCCAGCCAATATCAAACCTTGCTTTGACCAATTAGTCATGGGTATTTTGCTTTTGTTTCCTACTGAGTTTTTTGTGAAAGCAAAGCTGGACCAAGTGAAGTAGAAAAGTGAAGCAGAAAGCAGCAATACTGGAAAACACAAGAGCAATTTTTGCATTGTCATACCAAAGCTACAATCCTATACTGGCTTAATTGGGAGTAAGTCTCACTAAACTAACTGGAACTTATTTCTGAGGAGACACATATGCTATCAACCTCAAATTGTTCTGGGTGCTGGTCTTAAGATCTTATGTGGAAATATTAAAAAATATTCCTTCTTTAGGTAAAACTGGAAACTCTATGCAAAATACAGGAAGTGAGACAAAGATGCAAAATCTGCTTGTAAGAATGATTACTGCTGGGATGACCCACTCAGATTCCATCCCTTTAGCATCCATGGATTTGGTCTTGTGCTTGGCTCAGTCCTGCACAGTTAGCCAGGCCAAGAAGTCCACAAATGCTCGCTATTGCACAAGCAGCAACCTTCCCCATCAGCTGCAGCCACCCGAAGAGTGGCTCCAGAGCATGGAAGAGGAGAGAGGTGTGTGGTTGTGCCAGGCACCAATCCCAAAGACCTACCTTCTTCCCCACCTGACACAGCCAGCAATGGCAGTGCTGGGCATGGAAGAGGTTGCTTGAGGCACCGTCTTTAAAGGCCTATAACTCCCAGCATGTCCCAACCAGCCTCTCCACCTTCCCACCCTGCACTTTCACAAGCTGGGCCTTTTTGCCCATCCAGGTGCAGCATTTCAGGGGGTGAGGGAAAGAGGCTGGAGAAGTGTCAGAATAGCTCGTACCCATCTTACCCATTTCCTTCCTTCCCTGTCCACCAAAATGCCCCCTTTCTCCCCTTTTAAGGTCCCCTTCCCAACCTCAGAGAGGAGCTGACATGGTTCTTGCCACTTGAGAACCAAGAGCTGGGCTGTGGGAAAAGATATGATACTCGTCTCCAAGGCTGGAGCACAGACCAGGGTCTACCGGCCTACTCCCTCAATGTGCACAACAAATTTCACATGTCTGGAGTTCAGAGCCTTGCCACTACGGTGCTGACTGACACACATCTGGCATTATTAATAATAATCATTTGTGTGTGATGCTAAGTGTAAAGCAACAGCAGTGCAACAAGGAAGTTCTGGATCCACTAGGGATGCAGTCAGTCATAAATTAAAATATATAAGGCAGATCGACTAAGGGAAAAAGAAATGTCTAGCATTTAATGTATTTGGAAATTACTCAGCCGTTAGCCTATCCTTCATACCCCAGTCCCCATGCGAGCTTTATTCTAGCAGCCATTCCAGCAGGCTGCAGAGTAAGATGAGAGTAGGTAGCAGGGCCATTCTACCAGCCCTGATGCAAGACTTAAGTGTTTCTTCTTCCCTCCTCATTCCTTTTTTTCCTTCCTTACAGTCCACTTTAGACTGTAAGCCTGCAAGCAGGGCCTAACCGACTTACTGACTGTATGAAAGCTGAGGAGGGGAATAAAAAGATTAAATAAATTAACACTAAAAACTAATAAACTCACCAGCTCCCAAAACCAGCAATCAATTAAAAATGTAACTAAAGAGCTTTCCCCAGGATACCTGTTCCTTCTAACAGCAGGCTCAGGTGTGGAATGCCACTGATTATGCAGCAAAAGCAGGGCCACTGGGAAACAAAAGGAGAATACTGTGTTGTCTCTGTATTTGCATATTCTGATGCTTCCCTTGTGTTTCCGGGTGGCCCTGCTTTTGCTACCTATCAGAGGCACTCCCATCTGAGGCTGTTATTAGAAGGAGCAATTCGAGATGGGTACTGTTGCTCCTGTTAAAAAAAAAACCTTACAGCTGATGCCAGGAATCCAATGAGGCCTGAATACACTTGGAAACTGTGAAATGCCCAGTGCTACTTGGAAAAATAAACAGAAGTCTCAATGTAGATAAATTCCTTGTGACTTACTGTATTCTGGAAAACAATTTGGCTTTTCCCAAAAGGGAGTGTTCCTATCAGGGAAGGGGATCCTCTGCAACGTTTTCCTGCAGGCCCCTCTTTGTAACAGCAAATTCTTCACATTTATAATTCACACACAAAATGTTCCAAAAAGCTGACTAATTCTTCTCGCAGCTGTCTTAAGATTCCAGTAAGTTAGGTACACATGGTTATCCCTATGGGGGAAGGAGAAACTGAAGGTACGCTCAGCTTTCCTAAGGCTGAGTTCATGGCTAAGGTGAAATTTGGGCTGAGGATTTCCCAGGATAACAAGCTAAAAGCATGGCATGAGCAGGACAAAATGCTCCTAATTCTGGCAGGAAGTGGGGAAGGCTCTTACACAAGGACTACATTCCGTGAGATAGCAAAGTGTGTCACCTTTCTTTATATACAAAAGCAGACAGTCTGTATATTTGTTTAAAAAAAACCCAATGGTTTTATCCAATGGCATTCTGAGTAACCTGCCTATCTCATCCCACACCCGATTT